GTCTGACACGCTTTGTGGGTGCTGACTCCTCTGTTACTACTTAAAGGAAACAGTCTGGGATTCCTCCCACCACCTGCTGTACGTCCCAGGGGCCAGTACTGACTCCCAACATACCCCAGTTACTTTAAACACACCCCTCTCCCAGAACTCTGCCCCAAAGGTGTGAAGTTTCTGATGTACAGTTTAACTGAGAGTCATGCAAGAGTTATACAGCTTTCCCCGTACAGAGGCACTTCACTCACTTTTGGTCTTCTGTACTTATTCATATATCACACCGGAGAGTATAGCTCAGTCAAAACAATACACATCTGACTGCACTGTCCCTCACTTTCTCGTTCACCCTACCTTTGTGAATGCCTGAATTATCTGGGTTTAGGAAGGCAGGCAGGCAAGATGTCCCCCTCCTCATGCGGGCTGTTGCATGCTCACTGGTCTCTCCCTTGGGTGGGAGCCCTTTACTCCGTTCCTGTGTCTGTTAGATCTTGCCCCAAACTTCCTCCTGTCTCACTCGCTCCCCCTGTTCTTGTGATTTCTACTTCTGGGCACCTGGGCAATTGTTTTATTTCCAGTTAATGTTCCACGGCTCCAATCTCGAGAAATCAGCTAGACTGGTTTTTCAGAAAATGCAGCTGTTTTTTAGCTTAACGTTTGTGGGGTTCCCTGTTTTCCCTGTGTACCTGCTACTCTGCCTGTCAGCAGTGATGAATCCATATACATCCACGTTTTTCAGAATACAATATAAATCAGAATTTTACAATATAAATCAGAATTCATAAGTTGTACAATTAGACCTCATCATTCAGCTAGACTGGTTTTTCAGAAAATGCAGCTGTTTTTTAGCTTAACGTTTGTGGGGTTCCCTGTTTTCCCTGTGTACCTGCTACTCTGCCTGTCAGCAGTGATGAATCCATATACATCCACGTTTTTCAGAATACAATATAAATCAGAATTTTACAATATAAATCAGAATTCATAAGTTGTACAATTAGACCTCATCATCACATCAGTAACATCTCTCGTCCTTCCTCACTGGACACATGTATTTGAAGCCTTTAGCATTTTCTGTGGTACAAGGTGTACAGTGGCTGCTGAAAACCAGCCTTCTGACTCTTGAACCCCCAGAAATCTGAGGTGAGTGCAACATAAGATTTCCCTTCACTTGTGAAAGGTATAGGAACTGGGTTGTGACTGAGTGAATGAACAGTAATAATAAGAAGCCATCTGTCTCAAGCATTTCCGCCATGATTAACCTTAATTATATGTACCTTTCATCAGAGGATCTCAAATTGCTTTGCGTTTGCAAAGGAACCACACAACATGTCCCTAAGGCAGTGTGTGTTGATTGGCCTATATATCAGATGAGTCAATTGTCATAGATAGATATTGACTTCTCTGAAGTCATCAGCAAATTAGGGGAAGAGCCGAGTCCTGAATCCTGGTCCTGTAATATCACAGGGCATGCTGCTTATACTCCGTCCATTTCTTTCGTTGCTTGATTCTATCATACCAGCCTATCACAGTCCCCATAGAACTGCCTTTCCAACTAGCTAGTGAGGCAAGTCCAAACTGCTCCACCTGCTTGTAAAGAAGAATGACTCAGTAGAGGATACATTTTTAATTTTCTTTGAGGAGAGACTGTCTGAATCCCAAGGCAATGAGTTGCATGAGTCCACTACAAATATTCTCCAAGTCTCTGAAATCTAAACACCTGTTTGTACTGTAGTTTGCCATTTTTGTGGGCTTCATGGGATGGTTGGCCTTACCCATTGGCAAACAAGAACTATGAATGTCTTGTAGATACTTAGCAATGTTAAGCTTGATTCTGATTCCCATCCCATGTTCACCAGAGATGGAAATGGCAACTGGCTTCTTTCTGCACGCTCGCCATGTCCAGTGTCCTGAATGACACTTGACCGTACATTCCACCAACCTAACCTCCTATAAACCAATGTCATCTTAATTAAATGTTTGTTGTCAGCAGAAATATATTTCCAGACTACAAATGGGATTTGGGAAAGCTGGTCAAAAAAACTGACAGAATAATTTTCTGCTAGAAAATGCAGTTTCATTTAGAGCAAAACATTTGGTGGAAGCTTACCACTTTTAATGGAAGAAAGTCAAAACTTTTCTCTTTCCATTTTGATAATATCACGTTTTGTTTCAACTTTTTATTCATGTTAATATATTACTTTTAATGTATTTACGTAATTAATATTTTGATATCTAAACAAAACATTGTATTTTAATTGAATTTTTTTGGTAATTACATTTCATGGGAAATTTCAAAATTTTTTACTTTATTTAATTAATAACATAACGGCCGTACTGGGTCAGACCAAAGGACCATCTAGCCCAGTATCCTGTCTGCCAAGAGTGGCCAGCACCAGGTGCCGCAGAGAGGGTGGACCAAAGACAATGATCATGCGATTTGTCCCTCTCCAGCTTCTGACAAACAGAGGCCAAGGACACCATTTTATCCCCTGGCTAGTAGCCTTTTATGGACCTAACCTCCATGAAATTATCTAGCTTCTCTTTAAACTCTATTATAGTCTTAGCCTTCACAGCCTCCTCTGGCAAGGAGTTCCACAGGTTGACTATGCGCTGTGTGAAGAAGAACTTTCTTTTATTAGTTTTAAACCTGCTACCCATTAATTTCATTCGGTGTCCTCTAGTTCTTCTATTTAGAGAACTAATAAATAACTTTTCTTTATCCACCCTCTCCACACCACTCATGATTTTATATACCTCTATCATATCCCCCCTCAGTCTCCTCTTTTCTAAACTGAAAAGTCCCAGTCTCTTTAACCTCTCCTCATATGGGACCAGTTCCAAACCCCTAATCATTTTAGTTGCCCTTTTCTGAACCCTTTCCAAGGCTAAAATATCTTTTTTGAGGTGAGGAGACCACATCTGTACACAGTATTCAAGATGTGGGCGTATCATAGTTTTATACAGGGGCAGTAAGATATTCTGGGTCTTATTTTCTATCCTTTTCTTAATACCTTAAGATCTTATTTTCTATCCCTTTCTTAATTTTGGAAGGAAATTACATTTTGAAATGTTGGGATATCCTATGGAACTGAGATCTTGTTTTCTGTCCAGCTCCGGGTTTGATTATTGTAATTCTTTCAGTTTCTCTCTTTCTGTATCACCTAGTCCTAGTTCAGAGGGGAATTGAATGCAATGCTTATTTTGCTAGTCCCAAGGCCTTGTCAAGATGATGACTAGTCAGTTATCAATTATGAAGATATGAGCCACTTTTTACTTGTTACAGTGTTCAGGGTTCTGTAAGAACAAGGATTTTCACAGATTTCATTTGTAGTTTTTCCTGAACAAACAAATCCCAGTTCTCTCATTGACTTCTATGTGCTCATCCCTGAAATCTACTCTCTGTTTTTCACAATTGCTTGTACTATCATTTGTTTATTTTAATTGTAATACA